AAATTGGATATATTGTATATTGTTTTTGGGCCTGCGTGCATATTATGATATCCATGATGAATATTGATGTTATACTGAGTGCAGGTGTGCACTAATCAATGTGGCACTGAGGAAGAGCTTTTGTCTCGAAAACGTTTTGCACTACGCACTTTTTTACGGCCTTTGATTAAACATTATAATAAAGATTTTTTTGAGGAGGTTTTGCCCTGCATTTGACCGTGTGCGGATTGTTTTTTCTGCTAACTAGTAAAAACTGTACATTTTGTTATGCTAGCATGTGCTGAAATGTTTAAACCATGTGTGTTACAACTAACTCCAGGTTAGTTTGTGCCCCACACACCCCTGTATACTTTAGGTAACAATATGTACCTTTAAGGTACCAATATGGACCCTTTAGCTACAAAAGTGCATCGTTCAAAAAGGTACCGCCCAAGTTTTGTGCCTTTATTTCTGAGAGTGTATAAGTGTTTTTAGGTGATACCAGTGCTTGAAGTGGAAAAAAAGAAGTGCCGGTACTCAACCCATCCATGCACTCAATCCATGCAGAATCACTAAACCACTGACCAGCGCATAATCTAAAACACCTTCAGCCGGCATTCATTATAAAACACTCATGCTTTTAAGCCAAATACACACTGAAAAGAATAATTTTCTGCATCTGAACGTGAGTCACTATTCTCTCCACCATCTCTGATGAAATCGTCTGTGTTTTCTCTGCATTAGCAGAACTTAGTTTTGAACTTATTACTTATTACTACTAATGCATTCCTTTACTGAGTCCTTGAACTTTCCAGAAGTTTACCAGTTTCAAATGACCTCCTGGGTAGTGTGCTTTATAGTGTCATTTCTAATCACCCAGACACTGATGCTTTGACTCAGTACCGGCAACATGTCAGAAGCACTGGTACGCCAGTGGCGTTCCGTCCACATAAGCTGCGAATGCTCCGCATACCCAGGCAATTTGAGAGAATAAGTTCACGGGATAATTAATACAAACATGATTATAAGTTGGTCCCTTGTCATTTGAAATGTAACTTAAAGCTTGAAGAGTTAGGAAAAAGTACGTACAATGATTTATTTGCCAAACGGCAGTGACTTTCTTTAAATCTACCAGTTGCGGTTGCTTCTGGGCGAGCGGATTCTCTACAGCTTTCTCGCCTCTGCTCTGCTGCTATGACTCGTCAGGATTGTAGCGCGTTCTCAGTGATTTGCTGGTCTGCAGCTGATTTCATGCGCGAGGTAAACTGTAGGATATCAGACCGAATCAGACAATCTAAGATTTGGTCAGA